ACATAAACATTACATCATTAATTATTTAATTAACCAAAAAAATTACATTTTTATTAATAACAAATTAATTTTTAAACAAAACTATTAAATATAAACTAGGCAAACGTGCATTGCACGTTGCTTGCACCTAGTATGATTAAAAAGATGTGGTTTATAGGTGGTTAAAATTAATTGTTGCTTTGAATTTGAATTAAAATCTAATTGTAATCTATACCAAGGGCTTAATCTAATTTTAGAAATTAATTACTAAGGGTAGTATTTAAGATTTCAAGAATCATGTTTTTGTTGAAAACTTAAAAAAAAGTATGAATAAAGTTTCTATAAATTTTCGAGGTATGCAACACTTTATTACGCCATGGTTGAGGAAGCGTAGGCTCGTAATGGCCTGAACACCTTATCACTGCTGGTGCCTTTTTTAGCAGGTTGGCCCAGCTCGTGAGACTTTGGTTTAGAAGCAAATTCAGAAAGAAAAAAATTAAAAAAATTGAACTTGGTTAACTAATTTGAATCCCTTCTGCTGATCCATGTAACCAGGTATAAAGGTAGAAAATGAGAAGAGTATAGGTCCCAGACTAGCATTATCGGAACAGCGACCATCGTACTGCAGGCAAAAAGTGTAAGAACAGAAATCCACCAATACCGGCAAATCAACTCCGAAGAATCAGAGGCAGCAATATCAGAAGTCCAAAGGCATTATTCATGGCTTTAGCAAGGGTCCTACCGGACAACCTCCTTCATTCCACGTGATATTGTGACGTGGGCAGGAATAAAAGTAACAAGATTTACATAAACAAATCAACGTGCATAAAGTCACTGCAACAACCAGTACAGGAACAGGCACAAACTTAAAGAACTGAACATACACTCGGCAATATGAGAAAATTGTCAAATATGATTTCTTGGCCTCGCCTTGAAAAAAACCAACTTGTAACATGGCATAATTTATACAGTCACGTCGCAATATAAACTACCTCAACTTTTATAATGTTAACACCCATACAACTTTTACCGTCATATAATTCCTCTGCGCGGGCATCAGGAACATTTGACCTTTGAGCCTCAGCTTACTAGACTTTATGTATAAACTTAGAACTACAAAATGTACAGTTTTAATACAGGAAACTTTATTTGCAATTAGCTCGCACCTTCATGAAAGATAGGTACAAGCCAGAGCAGCACAGTCGAAAGAAAGAGGACGAGAGGCAGCTCAAAGCCTCAAACTAGCCTCAGTTAGCTGTACATCTACTTCCTTTCCTACAGCATCTAAGCGGGATTTGGGGACTGAGCAGCGATTCTCCTCTCTGCAAGAAAATGATATAAAATAGGTTAAGGGTTACTGAACAAAGAGTTGCACGGCACTGAACGAATACTAAAATGAATAGAGAATTATCCAATATTCAAATTGAATTTTCAACACAACACAATACTTTGAGCCTCGGGGATCATATTCAATCCTCCTGGAAGATCAGAAACTTGAGTTATACAATGGGGCAAACTTCTGATCAATAGGGGGTGAGAGATTTTTTTTAATTCAGATTTTTATTTTAATATCAAATACAAAAATTTAAATACATTGTTAAATATATTTTTCTGTAAAAATAAAAAATTAACAATATACAAAAGAATAATGTAATATAATAGTAAACGTGCACCACCATCTCTGTGTTCTACTTTTTGAAGGATTATGGTTTGGTGCTTATCTGTTAGAAATGGCAAAAGCATTCACCGTTCACAAAGTGCTCTCATTCTGAGAACTTGTATTAATTATTAATCAGTTCCTTGAAGTGGGAAGAGGGAATTCAGGGTTCGAACTTAAGCTGAAACGCCAAAAGGCTTGTGAATTAAAATTGCCAAAGTAATCGACAAGGTAACAATTGCTCACCACCAGCAGCAACAAGTTTCTCTACTCGAGCTACAATATGTTTCCCATATGTGTACTTCTTCAGTGCATTCAAATGAACTTTTATTCTTGACAGGATCAGTTCACGCTGCTGATCGTTACAAGTTTCAAGAACTTTCTGTACAACGTAATTAGCAAATTGATCTTTCATCATAGCCTGGAAGCAAGAAAGGTTATAAAAGGAAGAAAATAAGTCATTGAGTAGATAGAATATAACCTGGGAAAAGAATCAATAATTTCATAGATTTTACAGTGGCCACGAGGAAAAAAACAGAATGGGGACCTCAAATTTGTATATAATCACTCTCGTGATGCACAATCAAGACGAAAATTCTCACTTCTTGTCTCATTAAAATTATCTGCTGTCACCAATCCCTCTTTGTATAGTCCATACTATGCAAACATGAATGGCAAAGATTTGAAATTCGTCTAATAAGTATCTCAGATATGCAGTACAAACTAAATCTTTCAAACAATAGCATCAAAAATCTCCTACTCAAAATCTACATTTATTTAAAAACTCAGAAGCAAAGTTTCTGTCTAGTAGAGAGACAATGGGAGAGGAGGGAAGTAGTCATAATTTCCAAATCACTTATCTGATCCCTGATAAGACGTAAAAGGAAAAGAAACAAAGAAATATTCATTTTCCATTCAAGCCCCACTTGCACGAAAGGAGAAAATAGAAGACATGGAGGCAAGGAATTTGAAATTATAGCCTACCACAATGAAAAAAATCCAGACCTAAAATCATTATCGACTTCTCTGGATTCATTGGGCTAACAATGTTTACACGAGTACACACATAAGATGTTGCGAAACATGACATTACACAACTAAAATTTACTAGTTTCACCAGACACTCCAAACAAGAGTCTCTCTACTTTATTGCCTTCCGGCTTTCTCTGTCAAACGAAGCAAGAGTTCTTCTTCCGCTCTCTTTCTCTCCCCATCCTTTCACTCTTCTTCGTGGAAAATAAAGAAGCATTTCTTATACACCCCCGCCATCATAGTAACCATAAATTTCAATGTCATGAAATCTTAAGCATTATTTTAAAATGCAAAATATATATGTAATACATAGTGATTTTGAAAGATCATAATGCAACAAGGATGAATGTCCCATCCCGTATGGAAACCTGGACGAATCCTTTGAGAATAAGAAGACGACTTGAATCATCTTAAAAGACACATGCAGGGCTTACAATTGCAATAAAGATTTTCAAACTCCTACAACTCTGTTCCTTCCAATTAATTTAAGATAAAGTTAAAAATTCAAAGTTCAGCTTGTGATGTATACATGATAAGAGCCCCCATTAGAGCCCAGTACAGTTAAATTCAACATTTTACTTCTTCACTAATTTTTTAAGGTAGTAGAATTTTGTCTAGAGCTTATACACAGATAGCAACACGAGTCTTTGGAATTTAGACCATCTGCAGGAAATCAGTTTTTTATCCATTTTTTTATTTTTTTTTCCATGTTAGTTCTTTTGGGTTATCAGAAGGAATGTAGTTTGGACTACAAAGTGGAACTGTACATAAGGAAAATATTCTCCAGGCCCATTCCCCACATTCTCTTTAGATACCCAGATGATGTTGGGTTTGATGATGGTGGTGGTGGGGTGTTTGTGTGCACGGGGTTATAAGTTTGATGGGTAAACGATGTAGCCAATCGTCAACTCACAGGTAAATCCCAAACTTCAAAGCCACAATCAACCTAACATGATTTCTGGAAGAAGAAAAAAATGACTACAAAATTCTGAGCAGATTTTTTGATGCAAAGTGAAACAAACCTGAAGAGGCTCATTCTCATCAGTTGTTCCAAGCATCTCGTTTACCAAGAATTGATGTTCACTTGGATCACCAAAAGTTAAACACTTCTCTACAACATTAGAGGCAAACTTCTGCTGGCTCATTTGAACTATCTTTCCAGCCAATTCTTTAATTATTGCAGTACGCTCATGAGGTTTTCCATGCTCCAGTACATGCTATCACAAGGAAACTCAAAAATGGTTACCAATAGCTTTAACAATTAGACAGAAATTGTATCAGTCTCCTATTTAACACATTTTTATTCAGAAAAGGTTTACTCATGGAACAAGTACAAGACATTCATTATAAAATAAAAGGAAATTTGCACTTTTCGTTTTCAACCTTTGCACAATGTAAAAAATCTACTCTCAACCTTTTTTTTTAGCATAATCCAACCCCAACCGTTCAGTTATGCAGCAAAATTCCACTGTCGTTCCATTTTTGACCATTTTATGCCTCTTTAATAGAAAAAATAACAGAGGAAAAAATGATAGTTGCCCTGGCAAGGCTCGGCCAGATTCTTAAGGGAAAATTGCAAAGGAAGTCCCAACTTTTCAAAAACTACAAACAAATCTCATTTAAAAAAATTAAGTAAATATTAACACAAAAATAAAATAATTATAGAGAGTAAAAATTTCATCTTCCTCACCCACTCATGGCCAAACATCACTTCCACAAATGCAATTACGTCGGCAGCAACGACACAACCACCATCTTTATCCATAACAGATACATGTATATATACACTCATTTGTAAATGAATATGCATACACACATATATAGACAAGTGAGATTGACATGTTCCTACCTTTTTGTGCCATTTGTTTTTCTTCAAGATTGGGTGATGAGGAGAGAAGATGATTCGTAACGTAAATTGAAATGGTTGATAACAGAAGATTTCTATAATAGCGTAGCACACAAAAAACACGAGAGGCTAAATATTTATAAAGGATTTGTGGACTTCAAATGCCCCTGGATTTTGTCGGATTCACACAAAAAGTTACATTCAGTCACTTCACATTCATTCACACCGTCAATTTTTCAATTTTATACTTTCTATGACATTTTAATGAAGAGTGGGTAAGGAATTGCTTCAAATTGGATCATTACATTATTTAGTTTATATTGCAAAGAAGAAGGCCCATGGAATATGCCAAGATGCTTGTTCATTATTTACCTTGGTTAATTGAATGACAACTGAAAATTGGCACTTCTCGAACTCACTGGTAGTGGTGGTGGTTTTGGATACTGAAGCTAATGTGGCATGGGAGGTCGTAGAATAACAGGAAACTGATGGTGGGGGGGCGTAGCTGTTTCTGTTGCTACAAAGCACAAGAAAAGGACATATAATGTTTAGTAAAGAACTTTTTTTTGATTGTTTAAATTATGTGTTTTTCGGAGATCATATATAGGTTTTGCTTAATTTTTCTAGTTTATGTTTCTGAAAATTTCATAGTTAAAGCTCATAATTTCTGCATGCGCAGTGATTTATATTAATAAGTTTTGCTTACTATTTCTTTCCCTTATGTGTCTTGTGCCTAATGCTGGTGCCGGTGCTGCTGCCGCCGCCCCCACCAAAATTGCATTTGTGGAGGTGGTGTTTAGCAATGGAATGGATTAGCTTTGTTGGGGAAATGAAATGCTTACTTTTTCTACATTCCTTTTTTTATTTGTGTTAGTGTGTATTTAATTATTTTAAGTAGGAAAAATCATGTTTCTAATAACAAGCATAATACCTTCATAAAATTTCATAATAGCAAAAACATTTGACAAATAAAATTCACTTCAAAGCAATCCACACAAGATTCCTTAATATAAATAAAGTTAGACGCCAGCAGTATAACGAGCCATACTATAGTCTTCAGAAAGATTATACAAACCTGAATGACATAATTGCCATACTGATCCTGTGCCAACATGCTTACAGACCCCAGAATCTCTTCCATCACTTTGATCTCGGTCTTTGGGTCCTTACAGTGTTCAAGTACTCTCTGCCACATTGTAAGCATTTATAGAATATAGTACCTTAAAAACAAATGGCCTGGAACTTAGAATTTCAAACTAAGAAGAACTTTCTCTTACCTGTATCACACGGCACCCATATGGATGAGAGGAAAGAGTCACAACTTGGTCAAAAAATGTTGAGATAATGAACTGAATATGCTCCTCCGGTATACATTCAATGCATTTTTGTATCACATGGTTCCCATTTTGATCACGAACGCAACGCGTGATACGACCATCAAGTTCTTCAACCATTTTGATCTTCTGATCTAAATCAACAACTTCTATTGCCTGAATTATCAAACGAAGTCCATTAGATATGCGATACCAGATGTTCAATTAGTTGTAGTATTCTTACAACTTACAAATATATATAATCAACATATTGAAAGGAAGGATAAAGTGAAAAAAAACATATAGCATCCTCAGTACTACATGTCATGGACAGGATTTATGCACGATCTTCAATACGGCATATAAAAGAGCATTGACAAATAATTTTGTGCAAAGCTGTTACCTTTTGAATCACCCGACAACCATACATTTGGAGGGTCAGTGTAAGTACATGTCCGAAAAGTTCGCTAGCCAACTCTCTTCTCTGAGATGCCATTCCATGTTCAAAAAACTGAAAAGACCAAACTTAGCACTAGTGTATGAACCGATAGACTAAAAGCTCAGGGATATATGTGTACACATATATAGGGGTTGTTTGAGCCCCTTTTCTTTCACAAAAAAATGCATTTTGCAATAACGTTAAGATGGAGAATGTGTAGTTAAAAAATAAGGAAAAGTTTTAGGTTTGCGTGTAATATTATTTTATTGGAGAATGTGTGGTTGAAATGTGGTCAAATCACTGTTCAAGAAAGCATTTTGATAGAAAAATGGGGCTCAAACAAATCATAAAAGTGACTGAAGAAAGGACCAGATATCTTGGGTACCTTCTGAATTACATAATTTCCAAACACATCCGTCATCAAAGTAAGAGCTTGAGGAAAAATTTCCCCAAAAACCATGCTCTTCTCCTCTATTGTGGCAGTCTCAAGTTTTTGTTGAATGAATCGGCTTCCATATTGATCCGCACTGGACACAGGTATAAAGAAAATAAATTATATTTCAACAATCATAACTGGTAAGGTAGGCCAATTTAAGCAAGGCATACCTGAATTCGACAACATGACCACCAATATCAGAAAGTTCAAAACATTTGGTTTTATTACACTTAAACTCCTCCAGCAGAGATGAAGCAAAGGTGTTCTCCATGTAAGGTCCCATGACTCCCCCAGCTATGTTTCTCATCCCACCAGGGTATCTCATGTTGAATTCACCATGCCCCATGGGGCTGCCAGGTCCCATAGGAGAATTTGGAAGTACAGGATTTGGTAGGGGACTTCCAGGATATGACAACCCAACGCCATACGCAGGATTGCTATAGTAGCCATGAGGAATAGAATAACTATTCTTGCCACCCAAGTTCACACCATACTGTGATTTCTGCGGAGATAATAGAGAACCAAGATAAGCTTTCTGAAGGAAGCCCGTGTACGAATTACCCAAGTAGTTCACATCAACAGAAGGATCGTTAAGAGCTGCAACCTGTGATGCAGCATACTCAGCTGTTTTCAAGTACTGAAGATACAAAGGGTCAACAAGAGGTGCCTGCAGCACATTCGTTGACATCTGATTTCCCATCCGACTGAGGTTTTGGTCGAAGGCAACAGCACCTAGATTTGATCCCCCCAACATCATAGAGTCCATCCCTGGTACAGCCATAGCAGATGCAGCAGCAGCGTTCTCAAACAAAGGAGGCAAATTCGAATTTCCAAGTTGGCTTGTTATTGGACTTGTGGGGTAGCCACTTAAACCATAACGAGAGAATGATAGATTTGGACTATATAAATGCTGATTTGGACTATGTGGACTATGTGAATACTGATATTGAGAAAGTACGCCACCCCCACCATTAATGGCGGAGATTGAAGATCGTTCCGGGTATGAGCTATTAGAAGGAACAGTTTTGTGAAGCTCGGAAGGAAGCAAAGAGTTGCTGAGATCTGCACCACCACCATTGCTTATACCAGATTCAGAAACCATCATTTTTAACGACTGGGCAACATAAGGCATATTGAACTGTCCAGCTTCAGATTTCTTAATGTATTTTTGATGATTTGTGTTATTCTGACCACCTGGAAAATTGAAGAGATAATTCTTGTGGTCATCGACGTCCTGTTCAATCTGAGATGATAAATGATTCTCCTTATCCATAACACCATTTGAAATATTCAAGGCTGACAAAGAAGTTGCAAGATCTGTAGACTCATTTGTGTGAGATGAAATGACGTTGAAGGAGTTGGGACTGTTAACATTTCTCTTTCCTGAAGCACCCACCCTGCCTCCTCCAATGGGAGTAGGGCAAGGACTAGGAACCCGTGCAATATGTTGAGGATCAGGAGTCGAGCTTCTTGACAAGGAAGCACCCAGTGCAGCAGCATAAGAATATGATGCAGGCGGTCCAACATGTTGAGTAGCAGATGAGCCCTGGATATTTGAAGTAGAGCGTACAAGGTCTGGAGAAGTCAAATCATGGAGAGAATGAGCCAGCTCTGCCTCAGCCAAACTCATAGGATTAGCATTCTCATTAAAAGCATTTCGACTTCCTGGGCGTGAAGGATGTGTAGATATAGGATTAGCACGGTTCAAGTCATCCTGCACAGATATCAAGCAATAGGATGAATCACAAGGGACATGGAGAAAACTATTTTCATCTTCGTACAGGGGAATAACAGAGTTCAGAATAGAAGAATTGTGAGCATTCTTGGGGGTGCGGAAGGCAACTAGGTTGTACAGAAAATCACATGGGAAATAAACAGAGTCTTAAATACTACTTTAATGTCTTCACCTATAAAGAAATATAATACACAACAAAAAAAAGGGATCAAACACAATAAATTTTTAACTAGAAATGGCAAGGAATCACATATGAAAAAATTCCTGATTTTCTTTTCTTTACATTGAACCAGAAGATCTAACTGCTTAATCATTAGCTGAGTTTCAAGACAAGATCCTAATATATATCAACTTGAAAGGCCTTAAAATAAATTACATCAATCTGGGTTGATGACTTCATCCATGAAGCATTAAAATTAACACATTTAAGTTCACATTAAGGGAGTTTTGATAGGACCAGCTAGACAGAAAAATAAAGTTGCAGAAATGAAAAAAAGATGTGATCACATCAATGTTGCTATCGACAACCACACCAGGTCACCAGTCACGCAACAAAACTGGTTCCACAAATTCACATAGAAAATTTCAAATGAAAAAAGCATATGATGGTCAATGACTTACAAAAAATTGTATGTCCATTTTCACACAGCAATTACTTTGAAGTCAGATAGTAGGAAACAAAGTGATAATGGGACTCTTATCCAATTCTATACTGCGAACAAAACTAGTATTTTTCCAAAAGTAATATTAACGACCAATGAACAAAGATATACCTTCAATAAATTATCATCGATCAACAGAAGCAATGTAGAAACTTAAATTGAGCCTACTGTAAAATGCTTTCCACAATGTAGAAAACTACTGAATGCACCAAGGTGGGGTGAGGGTGGCCGATTCTCATATAAACAAACATCTCATGTAAACTAAAGCAACAAAATGGATATATCAAAGGTGTCAATAAGCAGTTAAATACTTGCATAGAAAAAATAATTCATAAATAAACATACATACTTGTACAATCAGATCCATAAATGACATTAAATATAGAAAAGAACAGAGCTAAGAACGATTATAGAGTAGTGTATTTGCAAGTTTAGCATAATCAACAGATGTAAGATAGAAAAAGACCAGTGATCTTCAGCATCGAGAACAATGTTACAATCTCGGAAAAGATAGGATGTACCCAACGAATTCTTAAAAATCAAAGCACATTTACCTGAAATATTTCAGCTAGACTCTTCTGCTTACTGCCTAGTCCAAGTCCAGGCAAACCAATGAGTCCATCACTACCCCATTCCACAGAACCCTGCACTTTATTAGCCTGATTATCAGTCTCTTGCTTCTTCGAATTGAACCCTGGTGGCATTGAAAAAAGTGATGTCTCCCCATCAACACTATTACTCTGATTCACCTTCTTCCTATCCCCGATTGCAGAATTCCCTCCTTGCAGCCTCTGTGAAAACCGCCAATCCTCCCTTGACATTAAAGGTGGCGGTAGCCTTGGGTTTAGATTGACGTTTGAATAATAGTAGGAGGAATATGCAGGATCAGACCTAAGATCTTCCTCAGAAATAAACCCGTTCCCATTCTTGTTCGTAATGAACTCAGCAAAAGCTGAGCCACCGCTGTTGCCGCCGCCACCGTCGTTGAACAACCCACCCACAGCATTCAGGGAACCCTCAACAGTAGGTGGAGCTGACCCGCTCCTGTACAAATTCAGCTCATTCTCTAGATCATCAACCTCCTGGCTCCGCTGTTCACGAAGCAGCAATCCCATGTCCTTCTCCAACTCATCTCCAAAAGAATTTTCATTGTTTCTGAGCATCGGCCTCCTACCCAATTCAGATAACATTTTGTTTCACAAACCCAAAATCCCACAATTATTTACACACTCATCCCACAAAGAAATATAAATTAACACCAACAACACCCACAAACCCTAAAAAGCCATAAAGAGCAAGACTTCATTAATCCAAAACATCAAAAAACCAACCAACCTAGTATAAAAAACCTAAAAGTTAAAGCTTTAACCTCAAAATCCAGGATCAACCACAAAAATTCATTTTTGTCCCGTTTAATTTCAATAAAATAGAAAAAGGAAAAAACTGTAAGTAGGCAAAGATGTGAGCGAGAGATGAGCAGGGTAGCAAAGAGAAGTTTATAATTTTTCTTTTGCTCCAATTATATACTAGTGAATCAACCTGGCGGCGAATTGTTCTTACGCAGAACCCCTTTAGGGTTTTGTTTTTCAATTACTAATATGCAGGAATAAATTCGAATATTAAAAACTGCGACTGGAATTTTATAAATAGGTCCAGGAATAAATTATTTTAATTCATATGCTATTATGCCCAGTTTTTCTACCATTATTCCAAAAAATGATTTGCTACAGTAAAATTCTCCACTACACATTCACACAATAAAATATTCTACACACAAATTAATAAAATTACTTTACTTTTAAATCACACATTCTCAAAAAAATATTATTCATTACTCTATTTTTCTTCAATAATGGAAGACAAACACACCTTATATTAAGCTCTGTTTGATAGATTTTAATTTCAATCAAAATCAACAATTAATTTTAATCATAAATACACATTTCATAGAGCCTGTTTGGTAAAAATTTTCATTTTCTACAGTAAATCAATTCTCATTTTCAACCACACATTCTTCAATAAAATAATATTTTCCATCACATCAATACTTTTTTCTTCTTTTTCAACCACACATTTCCCATCATATCACTATTCAAAAATCAATTTTTGTCAACCACACATTCTTCAATAAAATAATATTTTCCATCACATCAATACTTTTTTCTTCTTTTTCAACCACACATTTCCCATCATATCACTGTTCAAAAATCAATTCTTCCCCCAAAAATCACTACCAAACACACTCATAGACTTTTATCAAAATTTACTAAGGTCTGTTTGGGCAGATTTTAATCTGATTTTAATCTAAGTCAAAGTCAAACAATCAATATCAACCACATCTTTCATGGGTCCCACATCTTTTCAACCACACATTTTAAAAACTTCTATCACAATCTAATTAAAATCTGATTTTAATCTACACCAACACCCTCTAAATATTTTATTTCAGTTCCCACCAAATATGGACTCGATAATGATATTTTGTAGATAAAATGAACTTATACGAAAGTGTTCAAGGTCCTAGTTGAGTTAGGGACAGATGTGAAAAAACTCATTTGAAAATCATAAAATAAGTTGAACTTTGAGATTTAAAAAATGAAAATTAACTATTCTTGATTTTTACTATTGAAATCAATAGGTTTATTAAGCCTCCGTTTCGACAAAAAAAATAAATTTATAAGTAGTGAATAAGCCTGTATTTGATGCACATTTTTTAGGAGAGATTGCTCTTTTTTAGTGATGTGATGGTGAATATGTGGTTGAAAAAGAAGAAAAGGTTATTGATATGATGAAAAATATTATTTTATTGAAAAATGTGTGCTTAAAAATGAGTAGAAAAATGAAAATGAGAATGAGAATGTGACTCAGATATATTACTTACAAATTTATAGGAATTATCAAAATTGTGAAAATAGAAAAGAAAATATTAGCACATGTTTGAGTTATATTAAAATTTTCATTCTCATTTTTTTACTCATTTCCTACCACACTTTTTTCAATAAAATAATATTTTTCATCACATCAAAAACTTTTCCTTCTTTTTAACCACATATTCACCATCACATCACAAAAAATGTATTCTTTCTATTTTAGCCCCTGTTTGAGGAACATTAAAATTTTTATTCACATCTTCTACTCATTTTCAACCATACATTTTTCAATAAAATAATATTTTTCATCACATCAATAACTTTTCGTTCTTTTGCAACCACACACTCCCCCATCAATCTACTATTTCAAAATATATTTTTCCAAAATAATGTGGCTTAAACACACCTTTAATGTGCATCAAACAGGGGCTTAATTACAAAAAGTGATGATAGATTTTAGGGTGAGAAAGAAGAAATATACTGAGAGAAAAATACTATGATGTGTAGAGGAAGAATCTCTAGGCGCCACATTTGCACCTTAGATACGAAGTTTCGTAAGTGGACAGATGCTTACATGTTTACTGCTAAACTACCCTTGTGATGGTGAAATATCCAAACTGCCCCTAGCTGCAAAATTACTTATAGCCTCTGTTTGATACACAATTTTTCAAAATACATTATTTCATAATTCATTTTCAATCGTACATTGTTCAATAAAATAATATTTTTCATCACATCAATAACTTTTCCTTACTTCTTAACCACATATTTTCCATCATATCACTATTTAAAATACATTATTTTCTCAATATTATTCATCAAACACACCCTATAATGTACAATTCTAAATTCTGACATGTGAATGGATCTTTTTTATGATTGCTATAAACAAATTTTTTTTAGAGCACTTTCGGTTAAAGTTTAAAAAACTAAAAAGTTATTTTTCTTGAGTTATTTTTGTCTCTAATATATTTGGAAATTTTTTTCCATCACTTTCAAACAAAATTTAATTTTTTTTTTTCTTTTTTGTTATTGTCACAATAATTAAGAGTTAAGCGTATCGTTCTACGAGAAATAAATCTTAAATTGAATTGTACTAAGCCGTTATCGAATTTGAATGGGCGTAATAAAAGAAATTTATTTTAGTTATTCTAAATTAATTTATCAATTATGTAAAATTACGCATGACTAAAATATGGGATGTATGTGTTAGAGTTTTGAATTAACCTATTATTATCCTATTTCCAATTCTTAAATATGTAATTTAGTTTCATTCATACATTTTTTACAATCGATAATCATATTTTATTGAACTTTTTTTCCAAGGCAAATTGTATCTATTCTAGACATGAGCTAATCATATTTTTAGTCCGGATTTTTATGAATCGAACTCATTCAAACACACGATTGTCTAACTAATAATGCAAATTCTTGTCCATATTTTTCATATTTAATAAAGCAATAAAAATTCACACAATCACACAAAAGAAATAATAAAACTCAATGTTTTTTCACCCCTAAAATTAAATTAGACATTGCCATCAATGTCTCGAACTATAATAAAGTAAGCAAAATAAAAGGAGCAAATAAGAGACTTTATGAATGTATGTCTAATGGTTGAGGTTGTTTTGGAACAAAATTCTGACGCTAGATGATCCTCTTGGCTCCGTTCTTCCCCTTGTCCATCGTTGGTTTGTGTGTCTTCATTTGTCATGTTCTTACAAATTAAAGAGAAATTAATCAAAATAGGAAACAATTTACATTAAGCTCAAACACCTAACAATCCATGGGACAATAGGGGGATGAAAATTCCTATAACACTAACTAACAAAAAAATAAAGCAATAAAAATTACCTAACATATTATCTAGAAGGCATAATAAATAAAGAAGAAGAAAATTGGGTTATCGCCTAATAAAAAATGTTTATAGCCATTTGCTTTACTTTAATAATCTGTACCATGGAATTCGGAGGAAAGCTTTTGATCCCTTGCCCATTTTGCTACTTTTGACATTGCTCCACCTTTTTATTTATCCTCCAGGCTTCTGCTGTGCCCCTTTCAATGTAATATAACATGCTTATTCTATCTAATTCAAACTCAATTGTGTAGATTTCTACCTCCTCTTTGAGGTTAATCACAAATTCAATTGTTGGACAGTCGATAAAGTAAAAAGACTGTGTTAATCTCATCATTAATTTCCATTTCTTTGTTTAGTTCCTTTGGAATTACTTTATCTTCATCTTTATGTTTTTCTTTAATAGTTGATATCTACTCAAGTTGAATGGCTGATTCACTATTCAACATTTCCCAGCAGATTATATCCACACCTTTTAAATTCACTCCAATATATGAAATTTCCCATACACATTTAGCTTTCATCCACTTTGACAAGTTGATTATAATATTTTGCGAGTACCTTCTCATTCAACAATGGATGCCCATATATACATACTATGATCTTTGCTATGGCATTATACACTATATATATATATATACACACATGACCATGCCTCCTACCCATTAATTTGACAAGTATTTTTGACAAATAATCGTAACCTTTAATTTAATTCAATCCAACGCTCAAAATTTATCAATTAAAATACCATAAAATTCTTAAACTTTCTTCCAAACAACCTTAATTACTTATATTAATCCCTAAAATCTCTCAACAACACCGTGATTTTCTATCATCTATCATCTTATTCCATTCTCAATCACCACCCAAATTCATCATCTTTCCGACGAGCAAGAATTTCCAAACCAGTTAAGTCACGCCCACGTATAAACAAAGTTACCCTTGTTGAATTTGTATGCTCACATGAAGGAAAATATAATAGTAGGAAAATTGTTGAAGGTTCAAGTGAAATAGATAGCTATCAGAAAGAGAGTTCTACAAAAAGAAGAAGTTGCTCAACGGTTAGAGGTGGATGTAAAGCTAACGTGCGAATCTCAAATAATATTGAAGGTGGCTATTGGATAGTTAGAGCATTTGAAGATGATCACAATCATAAATTTGTTTCACCATTGAAAAGGATAAAAATGAGGTCAAATAGAAGCATGCCTAAATTAGCAAAAAATCTTTCTGAAGCATTCAGAGATGAGAATATACAAGTTGCCAAAGTTGTCTCGATTCTTGGTGGTGATACTATTGGTTTTAATGGGAGAGATTGTTATAACCACTTAAGGTGTATAAGACGTAAAGAGTTAGAAGTTGGTGATGCCCAGTCTGTCCTCACATTTTTTCAAAAGAAGCAAGCAAAATATCCACAATTTTATTATGCGATACAATACGACGAAGATGGATGAGCAACCAATTTCTT